CCGTAGTTATAACCGAATCAGATCTGTGATTTTTTTTTAAATAAAAGGGTATAGTTCCCTTCTTAGGGGGAAGTTTATGTTTATAAATATTATTAAAAATACCAGAGTTATTTGCAGTTATAACCGAATCAGATCCGTGATTTTTTTCAAAATAAAAGGGAATAGTTCCCATCTTTTATTTATTTTATTTATTTATTTATTATTTCCATATTTTTAAAGTTACAAAAATACATTTACTGTTCCCATCACTAGGCGAAGCCTGACCTGAAGGGAAATTAAACGGTTAACTATGGAACGGAACGGCAAAAACAAAAGAAAAAACACAGTTTTTGGTAGTAACAAAACTAAGAACTAAATTATTTTAAAACAAAACAAGAGTAGGTGTTGTGGATATATTAAGACGTGAGAATGTGTGAGTGTGTGTGTGTGTGTGTGTGCGTGTGAAAGTGTGTGTGTGTGCGTGCGTGTGAGTGTGTGTGTGTGTGTGTGTGTGTGTGTGTGTGTGTGTGTGTGTGTGTGTGTGTGTGTGTGTGTATGTGTGTGTGGGTGTGGGTGTGTATCACTATAAAAGTAGTTTATTTAATAACCCTTAGTACAGCTTCAGTTTCCGAGTAATTCCAATGGGTAATCAGATTTGTGGTTGCTATTTTAGCTTCTCTGGCCGTGCAGTTTTTGAGATTACAAAGATTTGCAAATTTATTATAAATGAAAGTAAATAAAAAGATGCCGATACGGTGTGCAAAAGAAGTGCCAGTACAAGTCTGAGGCAACCTAAATAAGCGTCTTTTGGAAAGCTCGCCGTAATCGTCAGAGTTTATTACCGAGCTGTGAATATAGTAAATTACCCTGACTATATACAATTTTCGGACACTTAGTACACCAGCCTCCTCGTATAGAGCATCGGTAGGAAACCGGCGGGGCTTTCTTAGTGCCGTTTTTAAGACTCCCCTTTGGGCTCTTTCAAGAGGCAGAATGTAAGAACTGGGAGAGCCGCCCCAAGCCAGAATGCAGTAATTTATCAGCGACTGACAAAGAGCCATGTAGACCGTTTTCAGGATCTTGCCGTCGATTGCTTCTCGTAAGTTCTTCATAACATATATCACCTTCCTTACTCTTTTGCACATTTCAGCCACATGTTCCCTGAATGCGAGTTTCTCATCCATAATTACACCAAGATACTTAAGGGATTGTATACGACTGATATGGCTGCAGTCACAATCACCATTGGTATTTATCGAATCACAGTTCTCTTTGTGGATTCTCAGGGCGGCAAACGAGGGAGGTTCGGAGGCAGCAGTCTTGTGAAAGCACAAAAACTTTGTTTTTGATATGTTGAGGGATAATAAATTCAGTTGTAGCCAATTCGAAACCCCCATCATACCTCTTTCAGCATTACGACAAGCATCAGTCCAAGAGTCACCGTGAAAAATAAGAGCTGTGTCATCAGCGTAGCACAAAATTTCGGACTTTGGAATTGGCAGAGAGGCGATGTCATTGATGTAAAGCAGAAAGAGGACGGGTCCCAAGATGCTACCCTGAGGAACCCCAAAAACCACTGGTTTAAAGCTACTCATTGATTCAAAAAGCTTCACACACTGACTTCGTCCCAGTAAATATTCTGAGAACCAGCTCAATGCTATCCCTCTGATACCACAGGCTTCCATTTTCTTTAAGAGGATCGGGATCGATATGGTATCGAATGCTTTAGCCAGATCCAAAAAGACACCGATACATTTCGATCCCGCATCTAAATGAGAGGCTATGGTGTTAGTGAGCAGAGTGACAGCATCTTCACAGCATCTTCCCTGGCGGAATCCAAATTGGCGGTCCGTAACGACTTTGTTCTTGTCTAAGAAAGCCACGAGTCTTTTATTTATAATACGTTCAAGTAATTTTGAGACTGATCCTAGTAGTGAGATCGGTCGGTAGTTACCGGGGTCGTCTTTTGATCCACTTTTGAAAATTGGTACTACAGCGGCTGTCTTCCAGATTGTTGGGAATGTGCCAGATTCTATGCTCAGATTAAAGATGGTTGTGAGAGGTTCTACTATTAAGTGTCCGATTTTTTTCAGTATTTTATTACTGACGTTGTCGAGACCGGGGGAACTTTCTGTCTTAAGGTTTTTTATAATACTAAGAATTTCTTCGGGGTCAGTGGGAGAAATGAAGAACGAGTCTAAAACCCTTTGCTCAATTTGTATTTTCCCTGCAAGGGATTCTTGAGTTTCGGCGCGTTTATCTAGTAATATTTTTGCAAGTTTTTGACCCACCGTCGAGAAGTGTTCGTTGCAAGCTTCTAGTGACTCCGCCAGCGACCCTCGGATACTCGAAAATTCTTCAAGAGAATTATTAGCCTTATTTAATGGTCTATGAGAAACACGGTTGACAGACTGCCAGAGCTTTTTGGGTACATTCTTGTGTGTATTAATTTCTTTACCATTGTATTCTGCTTTGAGATTTCTAAGGAGCGTAGTGTAGAAATTTCTGTACCTGCAGTAGATAAATCTTTTGGTCGCATCTTCTGGATGTTTTCTTGAGTCAAGATGCAATTTGTCTCTATGTTTGCTGCAGCGTATTAGTCCGGGGGTAATCCAAGGTTGAATATTGAATCTTGAGTGGCTAACTTTAACTGAATGAGAATGTTTGGAGATTAAATTTGTGAGCGTAGTGGTAAAATTAGAAGCTACATCATCAACAGAAAAGGTTTCTTCCAGAAATGACCAGTTTACGCATTCAAGTTCCGATATCAAGCCTTTATAATCAACTATTTGCCTGGTTCTGTTCCTAGAGTAAGACTTCAAAGGTTTAGTCTGAATACCTAACATTGTAACACTGTGATCAGTGAGATCAACAGGACAAACGATTGATTCTGCTTGAGAGTCGAAAGGAATGAATATGTGATCAATACAGGATTGACCATGCGTTGGTATGTTTACACACGATGATAAACCATGCTCTGCTAAAAGAGTAAGATATGTGCATGTGTTTTCTTCATGGACAGAGGATCCTATGATATTGATGTTTATATCGCCAGACAGAATAAGGCAAGGAGTTCTTTTAATTAGGTTGAGATGTTGATCTAGTGAAGACAAAAACCTAGACGGATTTTTGAAAGATGGAGAGCGATATATAGCTAATAGCGTCAGAACGTTAGCAATTTCAACACATAAGGTATTTGCATCATCTATGTTAAGCTCAAGTACGTTGGCTGACCATTTGTTATTTATGTAAACAGTAACACCACCTGACTTATTTATGTATTTCTTGGTACTGTAAGATTTGTAGCCATCGATCTGCTTTACTACTGAAGTTTCTTTCAACCAGCATTCACTCAAGACAATGTAGTCAAAATTGACATTAAGTCTGGCAAGAATCACCAAAAAATTATCAAAATTTTGCTGCAAACTGCGAATGTTTACATTGATACCTTTAATAGTGTATTTGTTAATTTTAGTTCCACACTCCTCCGGACAAGGTACAGAATGGCATTCTACATTAAAGGACTTGTCAATGTCAGTAAGTAGTTCTACGGTATTCATAGATTTTAATTGCAAACTGTATTAATGTTACTGAATTACATTTGTTAGTGAATGCCATTCTATCGGTCATCGAGAAGAGTATGGAATAGTCGTGCGTTATTACATAGTTAGCAAACATTCCAAGAGGAAATAAATGGTTTGCTGGTCTTTTACAAAAATATGGTCCTCTTAAAGTTTCGGCAACCATGCAAGTCACGTGTGTTTTTGAGCGTGATGAAAGATTGTGCAGTGTGTGTATTATGAAGTGTAATAAAGTATAGTGTAGCATGTGTGATATTGGATGTAGTGAGGAAGTGTACAGTGTGTGTGTTATTGTACTGTATCCACAATTAGTAAGTCTAGAAAAGTTATTACAAAATGAAACTATTATAATGAGACATAACGAAAAAATAAATGGGGTTAAAAAACCTAAGGTAAGCTGGTTAGTGGTGGTCTTCTTTAGCTTCGTTTGCGGAGTGTATCCCTGAGAGTTTCTCCAAGTCTCTGATATCTTGGATTGCAATTGGCGGAGAGCCTTCACGTCCTTCTCGTTTTCTGATATACACGGAGCCATTTCGCACCCAGCAAAACTTGTAGCCGTGTTCACAAGTCCAGTTCCGTGCAACGCGAAAAAGATGACGAGTTTCGTAGGTAAGTCGTTCATTTACAAACACCCTTCGCTGCGGTCCCGATCCAACTATTTCTTGACTATCAAGATTACGTCGAGTTTTCGCTTCCTTGAGTAGCTCATCTCGTTTGGATCGTCTGGTAAAGGAGACCACCAGTGGTCGAGGTAGCTGCATCCCGCCAGGTTTGCCATTGTTTAGTGTGCCAGTTCGTGAGACGTAATCTAAGTCGTGTTCTTCAAGCTTAAGCCCTATTTTATTTGCAGTCATCAAGGCAAGGTGATAAGGGTTTTCCCTGGGAGTTTCAGTCAACCCTAATATTTCTATCTCAGACCGTAGAGTGTTGTGAGTCTGTTTATTAAGTTGGCTCTGAAGTTGGGCGACCTGTGCCTTGAGCTGGTCATTTTCCTTTTCCTTCTGTTCAAGTGATTTAATACGCGCTTCGCACTCGCCAAACCTGGACAGGAGGTCGTCGAAACGTTTGTTAAGATCAGACTGCATGTTGATCATATCTTGCCGTAACGATCTAATTTCAGCTATCACTTCGTGGTTGGGGGAACTCTGAGTGTCCTGGCAAGTGGTGGCAATGGTTTTCTTGCGGTGTGTGACATTTTCATTAGAGCGGATAGGAGTATTAGCGTTGTCGCCACCCTTCCTAGTGCTAGCTTGACAGTCGGGGCAAACCCAGACTTCTTTTTGCTGTGATGTAAGGTTTCGCGCATTAGAACAATTTGTATGCAGCGTCCTTGAACAGAATTTAGAAGTACAAACGACGTAATCTTCCTTTGTGATAATTTTGAGACACCCCGAGCATTTCATGTTGACTTGTATTATAAAACTCTTGTAAACTTACGGATCAGCGATGAGACTTATCGTTTATCGCCGCGTATGGTGGTAGCGGCCGCTCCGTCTCGCACAGCGCGTCCGTCTCGTTCTCTCGACACTGACTCACCGTCACGCGACACACCACTGACCGATGTGAAGCGCGCTTTGAAATCGCAACGTATTATTTATGAGATCGTACACTTAAAACCGTCACAGTTTTTTAGATTTAAGTCAAAACGAATAATTGTTTTCGGCAACGTATTCTTGGTGCTTTAAGCTTACTTTTGATATAATTGGAACTTTGTTACGAGAGAAAAATCCACTACTTTAAATTTTTTAAAGACGGAGAGCTATCGAAGCGGTGTTTACTGATTGCCGTTCGGGTAAATTCAACCTTAGGGGGAAGTTTATGTTTATGAATATTATTTATCCGGTTACAATTATTCTTTACAATGTTTTTAATGCACTTCGGTATATATATCCTATCATAATAAAGTGAATCAATTTTAATATTTATTTTTTGGCATAAATGATGAAGGTTGAAACGGTGATAATAATTTCCACTGTTCATATCATCACTGACTTGTATAAAATTGCAGTTTTTAAAGTTATAACATATATTTTTTACAATGTGATTCAACATAGATTCTTTTAGAGTTTTGTTACGTATTACACTCAATATAATAACATTTAATTTATGTATACTTTTTAAGGCAGAGTAGTAAGCAGATAGTTCTATAAAAGTAATATTTGGATTAGTGTCGTTTTCGCCTATGGAGATGATCAGGAAATCATCAGCACAATCCACTAGTTTATTACAGTTCTTCAGTATTTCTCCGCTTGTTGCGTAGGGTTTCGTAATCGAATATATTTCATATTGTTCAAACGTTGTATTTTGTCTTGATTTAATAAGCATGGAAGCTAATCCTCGGCATAATTGGCCCCCTAATATTGTGATTTTATGTTTGTGGCGCTTAACAGAATAACAAGTAGCCCCATCTAGCGACACTCTGGCGATTTGATTGCTTTCTATATTTGATTCTGAGTTAAAGTCCTGATTGTGAATCATAGGTGATTTAGTTGGTGTGCTTTGTGGGACGGCTGCATTATTGTTTGACATTCTATGTAGGTTATGTTTAGTGAGGTTTAATGTTTCCATTTGTATTTTTTTCTGTGAAGTTATATGGATATCATTTATTTGTTCTGTGCACATATTTGTAGGTTGTTTAAAGATATATTGGTGTTCACATACTATTTTTTTGAGTTCGATATTTTCTAATGAAATTTTTTCTATTTCCAAGTGAGCGACTTGAAGTTTAGTTCTTAGTTCTTTAATTTCTGCCTTTAACTCGTCAATTTCTTCCGTGTTTATATGACCCGATGATAAATCCGGCAAACTTTTCGATTGATAGTCTGAGCCGGTGGATAAAAATGATGTGTTTAAAAATGATGTGTTCAGTGATTCGTTTACGACGGCTTTATTCCGCCGTACTGTGATATTTTGATCTTCCATATTGATGTACTGAGTCATAAAATAACAGTAAGTAATTGTTTCAGCCGTATAAGTATGTTTTATATTTTATTGTTATTCATCAAGTGACAATCGCTGCAGAGTATAATAGCGACATCTAGTTTTGAAATAAATGAACTGGTTGACATCTAAAATTTTCAAATTATGCAACGAAATATCAAATGTAATATTCTATTTGTTATGTTTTAAAACTTCTGTTCGAATATCATATGCGGTAATGTCTCTTCGTAACGTAATAATAACAGTTCGTCGATTCATTCCCTAGTTAATAAATCGATGAAATTACTCACAGATTGTTAGGTATGTTTTCTCATTAATATTTTTACAATCCTTTGTCCATTTGCACTGCCAACACAAATCCCTGTCCTTAGGGCTTAGCACAACGATTTGCACACTGTTTCACAATTTTTTTTGGGTTTTAAATATTAAAAAAATTCATATAATCGACCGTTCAATGTTTATATATATATTTTTTTTCTGCAGCATATGCCGTAATGAAGATACGTAGGTTAAGTGACATAGATACTGCCAGATTAGTATACTTCAGTTACTTTCATAGTGTAATGTCGTATGGAATCCTATTGTGGGGAAATGCTGCCGACTTACAAACAATTTTTGTGCTTCAGAAAAGAGCAATTCGATCAATTTATAATCTTAGAATAAGGGACTCTTTAAGGGAGAAATTTAAGGAAATAGATATTATGATTGTTGCTTCTCAATACATATGCGAGAACTTAATGTACGTTCGTAAAAATATTAGTTTGTTTTCTATAAAAAGTGATGTACACAATTTTAATACAAGAAATAAAAATAAATTAACGGTGCCTGTCACAAGATTGCAAAAAGTTAATAACTTATTCAAGGGTCTTTGTGTGCGCTTCTACAATAAGGTCCCAAGCAAAATACAACAATTAGATATCATGCAGTTTAAATCTACTATTACAAAAATACTTATTAAAAAAGCTTATTATAAGGTATCCGATTATATAACAGATAAGAACGCTTGGACTTGAGATGATCCAGCAACTGGATAGGTGATTACTAAACTCATTATCTTGTTTCCATTATAATTAAATAATTATGTTATCATTATAAGACCATAGTTTTTTTTTCTATCTCTGTTTATAATGTATTGATCTGGTAATGACATAGTTTTTGTAAATGTCATTACTCTTATTAGTGCTGGTGAGTTTCTTGCTCGCTCTTCTTATCAGCCAAAAGACGTCCTGAACGAGTGGTAGAGAAAAAAATGTTGGACGCTTCAAAAGTACTTTTAAGAAGTCTATTTGAATAAAGATTATTTTGACTTTGACTTTGACATCAGTAGAATTGGCGAGAAGCTTGAGCGTCTTCCTTCGGGGACGCGTGCTTTCTGGTCTCTTGCCAAATTTATTCAAGGTAATTTCTGCATGCCCCCATTTCCACCATTGCAAAAGAGAAAGCTCTCTCTCCTTTTTTGCGTCCAACTCGACTTTGGATGACCGGGGGCTAAAACCGCCCACCATTCCGCGGTGCGAGAGCTCTATGCCTGATATCCGGTTTCACCAAAGCTCAGTGCGTCTAGCACTACTCTCCCTGGATATCCACAAGTCGAGTGGGCCCAATGGTATCCCCCCTATTGTGCTAAGGACGTGCGCTCCAAAGTTGGCACCGGTTTTAACGCGCCTATTCCGGCTCTCTTACTTATCTGGCGTAGTCCCAACCTCATGGAAGACTGCTTTAGTGCATTCGATCCCAAAAAAAGGTGACCGCTCGAACCCGTCCAACTACAGGCCGATCGCTATAACCCCTTTACTTTCAAAGATAATGGAATCCATAATCAACTGCCAGCTCCTTCGGTACCTAGAGGATCGTCAGTTGCTTAGTGATCAACAATACGGATTTCGTAGTGGTGGCTCTGCTGGCGATCTTCCAGTTTGCTTGACATATAACTGGGCTAAGGTAATTGAAACAAAGTGGGAGACCCTGGCAGTAAGTTAAGACATAGCGAAAGCCTTCGATCGGGTGTGGCACAAAACTATTCTATAAATACTTCTATCGTATGGGCTTCCCGAGAAGTTATTTGCATGGGTCACTAGTTTTTTGGCAGACAGAAGCATTAAGGTTGTAATCGACGGTGAATGCTCGAACCTACTGAACTATAAATGCTGGTGTTTCCCAAGGAAGTGTGCTATCACCTACACTTTTTCTTCTGCATATTAATGACATGCTGCAAATTAGCGGTATTCATTGTTATGCAGATGACAGCACGAAGGACTCTACCTATAACGGTCGTGCAAATATTTCTCGGGAAAACGTCATTGAGAGCTAGAATCAACTGGTGTCTGATATTGAATCTTCGTTAGAGGAAGTCTCTAACTGGGGTCGATTTAACTTGGTCTACAGGTTTGCGCGTTCACCGCCAAAAAACCTCATTTGTTGTATCACCTTGCTTTCAAAACATTCCCCTAACTACCTCAGCCAATATTGAGATTCTCGGTGTCGACATATCGAGCGAGGTCAAGTTCCGTGGTCACTTAGATGATAAGGCTGAATTAGCATCCAAGAAGCTTGGTGTGCTTAATAGATCGAGGCAGTATTTCACTCCAGCACATCGCCTGCAGCTTTACAAGGCGCAAGTTCAGCCCCATATGGAATACTGTTTTCATGTTTGGGAAGAGGCACCCCAATACCAGCTTCTCCCTCTAGACCGCATTCAACGGAGAGCGACTTGAATCGTCGATTGCCGGGACACTTCAAGTCGGCTTAATCCATTGGCCACCAACAACCAACGTTACCTTCTAGTGGCTTCACTATGCCTGATATTCATATCAGGCAGCGTGATGTGCGTGCGGAACTACAGTCACTCGATGTCCGGAAAGCTAGTGGTCCTGATGGCATACCTGCGGTTGTTCTAAAAATGTGTGCAGCGGAGTTGACTCCTATACTTACGCGCCTATACCAGCTATCTCTTTCTTCGGGTCGTGTACCTGAGGCTTGGAGAGAGGCCATTGTGCAGCCAGTGCCCAAAAAGGGAGATCGGTCAGACCCTGCAAACTACCGCCCTATAGCTATCACCTCTGTGCTGTCTAAAGTCCTGGAAACGATTATTAACTCCCAACTGATCCGATACCTAGAAGATCACTCCCTTATAAATGATCGTCAATATGGCTTTAGGCCAAAACGATCAACGGGTGATCTTCTAGCGCACGTCATGCACCTCTGGGGTGAAGCTATAGACAAGCGCGGCGAGTCCTTGGCTATCAGTCTTGACATTGCTAAGGCATTTGACAGGGTTTGGCACAAGGGACTTCTCTCCAAGCTTCCGGCCTACGGTCTGCCCGTTCAACTCTGCGCCTGGATAGCCGACTTCCTGCGTGAGCGTAAAATCCGTGTTCTTTCTGACGGATGCTCTTCACAGCTTATGTCGGTCAGCTCCGGTGTGCCTCAGGGCTCCGTTCTATCCCCTACACTTTTTCTGCTGCATATCAATGACATGCTTCCACTTGGAAATATCCATTGCTATGCAGACGATAGCACAGTGCATGTGGGATATCACGGGGCTCCTACAGTCGGACGGGCGGAAATCCTGGAGAAAAGGGAGAATCTTGTCATTGAGCTCAATCACGTTCTGGATCTCATATCGAAATGGGGTGCTGAAAATCTGGTTGAGTTCAATGCCAAGAAAACTCAGGTTTGCGTATTTACCGCCAAGACCCCTCCATTCCCTTCCCTTCCCTCTCTTCAGGGCACAACCTTGCCTCTACAGAGCAGCATCAACATGCTCGGGATGGAAGTGCGCTGTGATCTGAATCCCAAAAACCACATCGAGTCTGTTATTAAAACAGCATCTCGTAAACTCGGTGTCCTGAATAAGGTGCGGCGTTTTTTCACACCCGAACAACTGTGCCTGCTATACAAAACGCAGGTCCGGTCATGCGTGGAGTATTGCTCGCACCTTTGGGTTGGCTCCGCTAGGTACTTACTCGATGCTTTGGATAGATTGCAGCGCCGCGCAGTACGCATTATTGGCAATGGAGAAGTCACCAAGAACCTAGAAAGCCTGCAACTGCGCCGAGACGTTGCTTCGCTCAGCGTCTTCTACCGTCTCTACCATGGTGAATGCTCTGAAGAACTCTTTTCTCTTATCCCTCCATCTCCCTTCCTCCTCAGGACCACACGTGCTGGTTTGCGTTGCCACCAACTAACTGTGGCAGCGATTCCTTCGCGTACAAAGAAATTTGGCGACTCATTTCTTTGTCGTACTACCAAAAAATGGAATTGTCTCCCGGCCCATGTATTCCCTCCTTCCTATGACATGGGGTCCTTCAAGCGGGGCGTGAAGAAGCACCTTGCAGGTCGGCAAGGTGAGGTTGGCTAGTTCAGTACCTACGTACTGTTTTCACTAGCTGTCCTCGCGTTTGGACTACGCCTCCGCTTACCATCAGGTGGTGCGCAGTCATTTGCCCTCCTTTATATAAAAAAAAAAAAAATAATAAAAAAAAAAAAAAAAAAAAAAAAAAAAACTTGGCCCTGCGTAGAGATGTTGCTTCACAGTGCATCTTCTATCGCATTTACTACGGGGAATGCTCCGAGGAATTGTTCGGACTCATACCTGCCGCTACTTGCCGCTATCGTTCTACACGACAAGACATCCACGCCAATCATTTGGATGGTTAGAAGTCCTCAACTGTGCGTTTTTCTAGAAGTTTCCTGCCTCGCACAGTCAAACTTTGGAACAGTTTGTCGCCAGCGGTATTTCCGGACCGAACCGAACTTCAAGCTTTCAAGCGTAGAGTATATTTGTCCCTCAAAGGTCGGCAGCGCGTTTGTAGCTCCTCTGGTGTTGCAGTTGTCCATGGGCGGTGGTAATCACTCACCATCAGGTGATCCGTCTGCTCATCTGCCCCCTATCCCTTAAAAAAATATATCTATCTTCTATATGGGGCATTCCACGCGAAGCGGACAGCTAAAAAAAGTTGATGTTTCCGATTTCAGAAATA